TTCAACATTGCTTAACCATTATACAATTAGGTTCTGCATCATTGACATCTCTAACACTCCTAGTGGGTCCTAGTGCCTATCCAGTTCGTAACACAGAGGAACAGCATCTCTTGCAAGCAGGTTTGCACAGTTCAAGGAGGAACCACCAAGTCAGATCATACTCAACTTAGAGCTGCAGCAACTCTGTGAGGTCCAACAGCAGCGCACTAAGCCTGACAGCATGGGACCATGCAGCCATTTCTTGGACCTCCCAGAACAGTTTTGACCCAAGTCGAACTGTTTGCAGGGGCCTTTGTCTGTCTATGGCTACAAGAAGAGCAAGGGCCTTCCACCACCAAGGTTCGGAGAGACAAGTTGTGCCTCAAGCACAGTCCGAGAGTGTGTCGAAAGCTTGACCATCTCATGATTTTGGGGATGTACAAGACGCGTGATTTGGCAGCCTCAGTGCTCGCCCTCTTGGGCTAAGCCAAGAGGTGCGGAACATCAAACAACACAAGGATGTTTTGTGCTGCGGTTGGGTAGCACATATGTTCATTTGATATTGTTGCTTTGTGAAGAGACCCTTTCGACCGGCCTCCACAAATTCGCCAGGCGACCAACCAGCTCTCCTAGTATGGGCCCTGCACATCGCTGCGATGGATCCTTCTACGATGGATCCTGCCTACTTACAACGAATTCTCAAGCGATTCGCAAAACAATCTTTTGCCAAACATTAATTCTCTTGCAGCGCAGAATCCGGAGTTGGTCAAAGCGACCACACCCCCAGCACCTTTCATTTTCTTTTAAGGTCTACGTTGAAAAGCATCATTGCGGCCACTATGAGCTGCATGTGAGAGCTTGGGATATAGCTAGGTTTCTCTTACAGCGAGATACTTGAAGCACATTCATTTTTGCCCAGCTGCATTTGACATGTTTCACAGAATTCCACGCACATAGAGAATGGAGGTCGGTAAAATGCCAGGCCCATGTGCACCTGATCGTGTAGAGAGCGCTTGGAAGGCAACCCCTTTGGGATTCCTAATGCTTGCTCTACAAAACATTAAACCCAAGAGCTCCCTTAGATTCTGCAGTACGATCAACAGAAACACGTTGATCCAAAGCATGCTGTGTGATGTGTAGAAGTAGGCCTGAGAGTGTAGCGAGCAAAAGACAAGGGACATCTGGAGTTTCTCATGGCTTGCTCACCGAGCCATCTGAGCACCATGGCGGATGGGCATTGTCTGCATGGTCGTCGGATGAGTTGGTCCCAAGACCTTCAAGCCTTGGGCTTTACCGGCCAAGCGCGACAGCAACAGCTCCTCAATTTGGGCTCCAAACACAGATAAATCATTTCCAAATTGAGTGTAATTTTGGCGCATCGGCCTCTTTAATTATGATAGAATCTAGAATGCATCCTGCTGTTTTGTGAGGCATGTATCATGATTTCGCGGCTCTGCTGTTTGATCCTCAAACCGGATCCCCATTTGATCCCCTCAAGGGTGGGTGTCTCGAGGGCCAAAGTGATGGCGGTGACCTCCGGCGCCAACAAGGTTGGGGTATGCGGGATGGGTGACAACCATCGTGGAGCTCCGTTCCGTGGCTCAACCCTTGGAACTTTGAAACGGTCTCACAGGGATGAGGGGTTTCTGTGACCAGGGGGGTTACCCCCAAGACGTTGTTTGGAGCTGGACAATCCACGATTTTCCAGGTAAAGATCTAAAAATTGTGGATGCTTCTATGTTGCTTGGCTGGTGGCAAGTAGTGTAAGTGACAAATATCCTCGTCCTCGAAACCGATGCCGGTAGACCGCATGACATGAGCAGTATTCAACAGCCTTTTTCATCCCAGGCAGCCAAAATTAGGACAAGATTGTCGCGCCCCACAGCCCTTCCAGAAATACATCTGGGGTACAGGAGGTTAGGTCTTAGCGTACATAATCAACGTAAAGTGCAACAATGGCTTATGTACATTGCGGCTTTCGCAACGGTGGCATAGGATAGAAAAGAAACGGACTGTACACCGATGCATGCATTAATCTAATTAAGAGGATTCAAGAGGTAAATCAACTGGATAGTGCATGAAGAAGTGGACCTCCAAATCCAAAGCAGATCACTGTTTCCTTTTCGTAGAAGCCGGTAGATCTTAAGTCAGCGTTCATCGCACATATAATGCCTGTCAGCAAAAAGCATTAGTTCGTGCATGGTCGTGCCTCCCTTATGTGCAAAACCATTGCATGGGCGGAAACGCCAGACACAACACTTGAAAAACCACGATGCGTTTTCGGCCGGCCACCACCAAAGAGACGTGGTTCTCCATCAATGAGCAGGTCTTCGATGTAGAAAAGACAATGTGACTCAAACTCAACTGCTTTCCTTTGTATACTCGAACTCTACTTTGCCATTTGCCAATTCTCCGTTGCAGCTGGCCAGAATCCTGCGCCACCTGACCTCCAGCATGCTGCAAAGCTACTGCAATGCCCCTGTGCTGTTTGGAGGAAAAATCATGCAAAACTTCTGAACAAATTGTACCACTGCTTGTTTTAAAGGGTGTGTACCTCAACTCAGAACCCTAAGCTTTGAAACATGTGGACGGCTCATCCAACCAGCATCTTCATCTGACAGGGTAATCGACAACGAATCGGAGGCCATGTGAGGGGAGGGGGTGTAGGAGTTGGGAAATTGCATTGACGTTGGGTATTGTACCTGAAGGCATTCTAATTCACCTACATACTCGAGTAGTTTACATTCATGAATTGGTTGGGCGTTTGGCTTTGGCTTTGACCGTTGCTTTGCCCAATTTCCCTCGGTCACCTGCAGTCTGAAGCCCGCTGCAATCTCATGCGCAGGGCGCAGGAGTGATCCCCGATTCGCTATCATTCATGCTCTCTGATGAACAAGACGTCGTGCAGGTTGGGTGAGCATGTCTACATGCTTCAAAGTTTAGGGTTCTCAGTGTCACACACCCTCAAAGACAAGCAGTTGCACTTTTTTCTTCAGAAGTTTTGCATGTTTTTTTGCCAGTTAGCGTTTGGGAGCTGTAGCGAAATGTTGGAAGTGGCGAAGTTGAGTTTGAGTTAGAGTGTATAGAGAGTTAATTTTGAGCCTGTTCCTTTTCTACATTGAAGACGAGAACCACGTGCCTTGTCTTGTGTGACAGGGTTTCAGCAAGGTCTTTCTGTGTGCTTGTCCTGAGGCCAGAGGGATTCTTTCATTGACACAAGTCCAGTGGCCTGTGATGAAGAATTACATTGAAGCGCACTTGATATGGTGAGGACTGTGGGAGGGTTGTACCAGGCTTGCCTGTGGAGTGGTGCATAGCACTTCCTCTCCTATGTAAGAGGATACCTTTCCAGATCTTGCACAGGTTTCATTGCAGTTGACTCCAGCAAAATGCCAGTGACGGTGTCATCGATTCCAATTATTCCCTATCCCTCAAGTCTTGGCAAAGATGAATCCTAAACAAGGTGCGGACGACGAGATACGTAATAGTATTCGTATGCAAACTCTATATATAGATAGATTGTAAAGGTGTGTAGGTGTGTTGTGGTCTTAAATGCCTTCAACCTGAGTTCCAGGAGGATCCCCTCGATGCTTTCATGGCCACTGAGCCCAGCCAACGAGTTGTGCCAAAAAGAACGAGCGACCTTGTATAACAATCCTAATTGATAAACAGTGGCTGCAAAGACGCTGCGACGCAACATTTGCTACTTATTGTTTGAGCTACTTCGGATGTTTGTGCAACCTAGTCAACCGTTTGAAAAAGAACGGCTTTCCTGGTGCCTTTTGCCCTGCTGCAGGCTGCAGGATGGTCTTTGGAAATTCTGAGAAGGGGACATTGATGTTGAGGTGTAGGGTGTTGCAGCCAGTGATTTCAGAAGCGAATGTCATGGGCCACTCCGTTGAATGTCGCACCCTGCAGAGTCAAGGTGAACCCAAGCCTTGAACGAAAGACCTTTTCTTTCCAATTGAAATTAAACGGTGATGCTTCTGCCCAACCGTATTATCATAGACATGCTGAAAGTCTTCAAATGACAGACATGATGGCCAAGACAACTTCTTGGCCACTTCTTCGCACATCCAAGGCAGAGATCAACTCCGAGATTGCCAAGACGGAATCAGGTCCGGAGTGGCTTCGAAGACTTGAGCATGGCAACTGGCTTTGTGCCTGTAGTACTGCACGCGTTTCGTTGCAAGTGAATGCTCCATGTTGGCAGAAAGAAGTATCAAGTAGGAAAGTACAGGAAAGTCACTCAACTTACAGTACAGCAAATTTCAATGCAAACACACACACACACACGCAGATAATTGCAAGGTCACAATGCTTGAAACTTCCCAAAACTTCGATCCACGTGATCGAGCTGCTAGCTGCTAGCTGATTCCAAAGCTCCCCAGACCTCTTTGTCCACACGACACGGGCATCCTGTGGGTGCTGTGTGGGGAGGCTCTGGTGGTTTCGAAGCGAAGATGCAGAAGGCCCATCGTCGAAAGAAATATCCTGGCGTTCATCAGTTGGGGACCAACCTGTTTTGTAAATCCAGGGCTTAAAGTATGACTAAATGACGCACTGATCCCTGATGATCCCTGCACCTATGTGAAGCTCCAGGCACAGGCAATGTGGGAGGATGACGCAGAGGAGTGTGGTAGCATCAGCTTCCAAGGAAGCAAGAACATTGAGTCTTGAGTACAGCATATTTTGGATGGTCAACTTTCAACTCTCTCACACTAGCCACATTGCTTGAAGATCGCAGGTCCATGAAGTTCATTGCTGTATCAACTCTTCCAGTCCTCCATGCTTTTTCACTGCAAGTGAAAGCCCTGCGTGAGAACTCACTAGCTGCACCAAGCGAGTGTTGCGGCTCAACAAAACATCGACAACTCACAAACCTCTTTAGACATTCTCAACAGGACCTAGCTTTGACGACAACAGACCGTGGGACTCAGGAAAGTTGTACACACATGTTTCTTCAAGCTTGGAGGCCATCACTATTAGATTGGAGGCCATGGCCATTAAGGATGATCCCTCGTGACAGCCCTAGACTTTGAAGAGTAGCCATGGCGATTGAGAAGCAGCTCCACAGACTGTGCGCAGCAGCTGGCGGACAGCAAGAGACGGTGCCCAGTCGTTGGAAAAAGGATCATTGCAAAAGCTAAGCATAGCGAATCCAAATATGTGCTTCTTGTGGTTGCACAGCGAGTGCAGGATTTTGACAGGTTCAGGTATCCACAAATGCGTTGACCGACTGCTGCAATCCATTTTGCAGGCACTGAGCCTTTTGAGCCGAATTCTTGGGAATTTGGTGGTGCCTCGACTGATTCTGCAGAAGGCCCCGAACAAAACGTGCAGTTAAAAGTTTTTCAATTCATAATATTATAGATAGTCTCATCAGGATCCTCTTTTGGCTTCGACTCTTGCGTGGAAGATCAGTGTTTTGTTTTTCTCTTGCACTCTGGCAAGGATTTGGGTCACTGTTTTGAATCTGTATATATTTATGAGGTGCTGCCATTGTCTCAGCTTGTTGTTGAGACCTGTCTTTGGGCAATGTAGTAGGCGGAAAGTATGGTAATGGAGAGATCACCCTCAAAGCAAGCATGAATTTCCAAAGCTTCTATGCTCCACAAGCCGAGGCCAATCTTAAACAAAAGACCACTGGCTCCTGAGATTCGGAACTAATTGAAGAGATCAATCAACCGTTAACTACTGGTACATACTGGTACGATATTATCACAATCATTTCATGATTCTGGCCTATTCAGCTGTCTTCGTGTCAATCTCCTGCAAGCGTGGCTGCTTTTGGGTCGTGCTATTGCCCGGCTCAGGACAATCCAAAGGAGTCCAAGTTTCGCCGGCTGCTTCTCAGTTGAGTGAGTGTTGCATGCTGTGGATTCAAGACTGGGGCAGAGAAGGGACGGTTTCATGTAATCACAATATCCGCGTGCAATTATGTTTGTTTCTTTTGGAGGATGGAGTGGTAGTGTGAGGGAGGAAGGTTGGCTGGTTCAGTGTTTCATAAGGAATCCCAACAGCGAGAAGCTGAAGAATGACCTTTTGCGACATGAAGGGGCGCTTGAGCTGCTTGGGGCTGAGCTGCGCCGAGCTGCGCATCAGCTCTCCGGGAGGATGCGCCAAGACAATTCATGTGGCATGGGACAGCTCTCAGAGCTGTCCGGGCATAGGATTTGCAAGTTCCGATTTCAATCACAACCTACAACCAGGTGAAACAGCAAACTTACAACCAGGTAACCAGGCGGTTTGAAACCAACAGCAAACAGCAATGGCCCAGGTTGAGTGCTGTCGGCTTTAAACCTACAGAGGATGGGCATTTGGAGGTGCCACCAGGTCGGGGGCCCCTTTGGTCGTTAAGTTAGTATGGAGCATGACATACTTTTGCATAATTTGAGGATGTCCTCATGGGATCTCATGGGTAGGTAAGTGGAGACTGACATGTCAATCCACATTTTTGTTGTACAAGTATATTAAGTATATTATACATTATACAGTTATACATCAACCCTTGCTCTGCCTTGCTCGATTTTGCTGCTTTCCGTGTGTTTGATGTGCTTTCGCCATTTGCAGGGCTTAGCCGTCACTTGCTTCGTGCTATATAAATAGATCTGAGTTATGAATCCCAAGAATGAAACACCAAGCCTGCTGAAATTGAAGGGAAGTGAGATGCAAAGCAGGCTAGCACTTTCAATCCCACTTGGCGGCGACCTTTGTCTCCTCCCGTCGTAAAGATGAGTGCATCATTGGATTCTTTTGGCCCTGAAAAGTCAACTGTCACGGAAAAATCACACGCATCAATGCTGCATCAAGCATATTTGTGAGGTGCACCGACTGCTGCAGAGGCAGCCTTGGCAGCAGTGAAACGTGGAGCAGGAGCGCCTCTTAGATGGGACTTAAGCTGTGAGAAGATGTGTAATTATAGTGAGAGCAGCAGTGCCTTGGCTGGGACATGAGATTGTCTTTTGTGTGCAAGGGGAAGGTGGTTTATGCTCAAAAATATTATCTTATCTGTCGTCTTGTGATACTAGACTGAGAGAGACTTGACATGGCTCAGGCCACGGCGGCTATGTTGCTGGCGCAAAACATTCTAGCCAACCGGAGGCCCAGTTGTAATAGCGCAACTACATAGAGGCCTTGTTCGACAGGTGGGGGAGGAAAAATCAACACCCTTGAGCCAACAGGGAGACATTTGTTTTTTAAGGCCGCCCTTACTTAATTGAGTAGGCACCCACTTAATTAAGTAAGGGAAACTTAAGCTTCTAGTAACTGGACCCAGGATAGCTCAAGAAGCGCTCTCGCTAATGATTTGGTTTCTATAGATTTGAGGGAAACTTAACAAATACATCTGAGTACAGTCGGCGGACTCACTTGGACGACCTGTCAGCGATCACGACGATGCATCATTATTGTTTGACGTTTGACAGTAGACTTGGCGTCAATCATGTAATGACCGATGAGGCTTCATCTGATCCGCTTCCCTCTCATAGTTTTGAAGAGTCCTTTTTCCGCCATGTACCATCCTTGCTTCGCTCAAATAGCTTAGCAGATCTAGCAGCTTACTTTGGCTACCACCCTCTGTCCATCGGTCCTCAAAGCTGGTTTGTTTCACGCGGCTCCGTCGTCCATGGAGTCCATGGTCCAGGCGGCGGCTGAATTGGCTGTTCTGAAAGCGCTGCGCTGCTCACCTGAGGGCAAGGAGGTGAACATGTTTCAGTTTCCAGCAGTCAAAGTCCTATTGTGTGCGAAGGCTCATGCAACTCTTCTGGTGACTGTGAGTCGAAGCATGTCAAAGGAAGTGGCAATGAAGCAACTTTGCACCTTTTAGCTCTACCTCATTTGTAATCACTTGCTCCGGGTGGCAGCAGGAGACAGTAGAGGTATGCAGAACAGCATTGTCAAGTGTCAACATGCATGCGATTTCGAAAACCAGACATTCATAGAGTCTTCGCCAAGAGAAAGTAATCAGGTAATCAGTGAGCCAGACTTCATAATCTTGTCTGGCATAACCGTGCCAGGTCTTGCAACTTGTGGTGCCTTGTCTGTGGATTTGAGAAATCTGGAGAGCGAAGAATTCCAGATGCATGTGACGTCATGTGACTATTTGTGGGCTCCCAAACTTGGAACTCCTGGTTCTCAAAAGAGCTGCGAGGAGACAGGTCACACACACACACACCAACCAGCACACAATTAGTTGTACTTTGACCATTGGTGGCGACACTAAAGTGTTCCTACAAAGTAGCAGGACCTTCTTACAGTGGGTTGCGTTTTGTCGCCAGCACCGTCGCTGTATCGCTGAGAGGAGCAGTCTCAACACTCTCAGAAGCAAAGCTTTGGGATGTTGGCCAAAACTGAGGATCCAGCCAGCCTCAAAGTTAAATACTGAGTACTTTGTACATCATGAAGACTAGTTTGACATAGTTCCTTACATTATTCAACTACGCTGCTTGGTTTTACATGTTCGGACCGCTTTCCCGAAATTGGCTGCCAGGAGCGCATTCTTGACAACGTCCGTCGTTATCCCAACAACGAGAAATACAGGCCGGCACATGTCCAAAATAGATGAAGCAGAGAGAGAGAGAGAGAGAGAGTGAGAGACTTGTGAATATTTCTGAAGAGAGACTTGTGAGCAGACCCTGTCAATAGGACATTTCAGTTGTTCAGGTGCATCAACCTGGCCAAATCTTCCGGGCACAAGGCTGGAAGCATCCATGCATTGGGTTTGCTGTTGATTCCATGCGTCGGGCTTTTAGCTGCGGAGCGTGATTCTCCTTGCTTTCATAAAATACAGAAAAAAAGAGACGAACAAAGGATGGGGCCCATTTTTGGAAAACATGCTGTATTTTGTGCATTCTTTGGAAGCAAAAGCAGAGAGTCCCAAGAACTTTGAAGAGCCTCGCGCGAGGTGGTGCAGGCGCTGCCGCTTTTGAAAGCGGCAGGCTTTGAGGAGATGTCGGCCAATGGAGAGGAGCTGTGTGGTCGGGCCGCAGGGCCGCAGTCTGCAAGTAGTGAAGGGATTCATTTGCAAGTCCCATGTCAACATCCTGGTTCCTTCTGTCAGGATTTACTCCAGCTTGGGCGTGTTCATGTGGACTTGCTGGAACGAGTTACTTGGCCAGCTCTCCACAGAGGAGCACTTAGACAGCCGTACACAGCTTTGGGTCAACCACAAGCTGGTTTGATCTTCAGCCATGGCCTGCAAGAATTTCATGACCAACTTCTTTCTTTGTTGGAAGTAGTAGGAGCATGCTTTCAACAACTCTGCCTACCCTTGAGGTTTGGGCGATGGTGTGGTGGGCTGATCGCGGGCACGAGATGATCAAGGAGTCTTTCAGCAGCAGAGAGTCCCCGCCAAGCTGCCAAGGATAGGAGCAAGGCAAGACGCCATTGCTCTTAGGTTGGAGTCCCTTCGATTCTTGGATCTTGGTCACTGGAGCGGAGGATTCCTTGATTCGGAAGAGCCAAGACGGGGTTCGGTTTTGTCGGAGAAGAACACAAAGAGCAAGTAAACCGTTCAGGAATGTTTAGATGTTGTGTAAAGGGCAGATATTGTCAGAATGCAAAGCAACACTTCGTGCGCTTGGACCTCTCACTACCCTGCGACGAACAAGAACATCGCTATGAGTTGAAAGATGTTGAAAGATATAGAAAGACATTCTCTCTCTCTCTCTCTGATTGTGTTTCGCACGAAAGCAAGGCCAGGCAACCCCACGATTTTGTTTCAAATAACAAAGGGCTTAGTCTTGGCATTCCACACATTTTAAGCACACTACAAAACACACAAGCACTGGTCTTGACACACTTTTGGCAACCTCAAAGGCCCAAAACACTCCAAAGTCAGATTACACCAAGTAACATTTTACACACACCCTAGCCTATTTTTGCTCAGGCTTCGGTCGTCGGTTTTTCACTGCAACTTGTTTTAAATCCGCCCTGCTCCATCGGCCCATTGCACATATTACACCAAACTGCGACACTCTGTACGAAACAGTTGCAGAAAGGGATGCCCTGGGCCCTGGCCGTGAGCAGATGCGCTCCCCCACTAAGTGCCACTAAGCAGAACATCAGCCAGGGTCGCAGGGCTTCCTCTCACGCCTCGATCTCCGCCTCAGTATCGTGCTGAGGCTGCCAGGTCCAGACAGCTTGGGCTCACGTGCCCTGGGTGCCCTTCTGGGAATGGTGGTGGGAGATGCTTTGGGTGCTCCATTGGGTGGTCAGGAGTGTGGGGGAGCGAAGGTGGAGGCTTGGGTGTTTGGCCTGCGAGGACTACGGCAGCATGAACCGTGGCATGTTCCAATATACTGACAGTCTATTGTTCATTTCCTTCTTTTGGGGTTTACTTGCAGTTGACCCACAGCATCCCGCTGCCACATAGGGTGACGATGGCAAGAAGGGAAAGCGTTTCAGCAAAAGGGGTGCTCAACAATAGCATAAGCTGTCGCGCCATGTGCATGAGAGTATCATTTCCTGTCCGTGTGCGCTCCTGTATTTGTTTGACTTTCAGCACAGTAGGGATGAAGCAAGGTTGACAGCCATGCAATGAATGTTTAGCGTGATACCTAGCTCAATGTGCTATGCAAAAGATCCCTATTTGTATATCGCATAATATGAGGATTTGACTGCGATGCACATCACAACCCGTTCTTGAAACTCTCTGTTGCGCAGGACCCAATGGCTGTCACTGTGCAGGAGGTGGACAAGGTGCACCGCCCCTCCTTTCCATGAAGTCCTCCAGTCCATCTCCCGCAGTGCATTTCTCCCGGAAATGAAATTGATCTTCGACCAGCCGCTCACCCCCCAGCTCATCGAAATCCACCCAAAGAGCTAAACGGCAGCCTATAGATATTTTATACAGTTATATACAGTATATATCATCATATATGCTCAGCCCCCCCTATGACCCCCCGCAGACAACAACAGACCTCCCTTCCAGATGTGTACATGCCCAGGGGTATGGAGTCGACATTGTGTTTAGGAACAGCAAATGTTACAGGACTCAGACAGTGTCGACATTGCATTCAAAATTTAGTGGTTCCTCTCCAAGAAGACTCAAGGTGCAGAGTCGGTAGGAAGGGGAACCAGTAGATGCAAGGCAACCGAGATTGCAGAAGTGCAAGCCTGTGTGTTAGGTTGCATGTGTCATTGAAGGTTGAATACCAACATATACATAATTACGTAGTGGAAAACAAATTGAATAGCAAAACAAAACAAATATTATTCAATTCAAATTCGCTTGAACATATACGAATTTCTTTTGAGAGCACATGAACACATATCAGAATATTAAGACTCTTTTTGAAACAAAATAGAAAGAATACAACAAACACATGGCATTTAACTAAAAATCAGCTAAGGCATATTTTTCAATCCAAACAGCAGTGTTGACATAATTTTGAAAACGTATTGAAGCAAATGACAAATACAGTAAAATCAAGAAACTACACTTAATGAAACTTTAGTTTCAAGAGCTAAACGCTATTTTAGACCATTGTTTAAAACATGTTCGCACAAGTCTTTATTATGTTTTTTTTTGTGGTTTTCAACCAAAAACGTATTTAAAACACTGTTTAGGCAACTCAATAGAACTAAGCAAAGGCATTTAAGAACATTGTGTTGCATACAAAAACGAGTTCTACTAACCCTAAGCCCTAATCAAACCCTCAGCCCTAATTCAAACCCTCAGCCCTAATTTCATTTTAAACGCGTTCTTCTGGATCTCTGAGAATGATCATTTCTATATTCAAAAGCTTGACATAAAACCTTTCATTGCGAAAAGCTTTTTCTTTATTGATCTCTGGGAATGATCACTCCTATATTAAGAAGCTTTATAAAACATTTCAAACGCATTTTTGGACCTTTGGGAGTGATCACTTCTTTATGAACATCGTTTGAAAACGCAAATTGAAAACATAGTTTCAAAAAACTGATATTTATTAAGCATAAATGCATAAAGAAATATATTCACAACCAAGGAAAAATACGTTAACGCCAGCAGAACAACAGCATTTACTTGAAATTCAATTGAATACACTTAAATTACTATATAGATGTTAAATTAAACCATATTGACATGTTTGGTTTTAAACAGATCTGAACAGTAAAAACAAACAAACACACTTTACTAAGCAACCAGTTGAAGCTATATTTGTTTCTTCGTAAAAGCAACAAATAGGTTATAAAGATATATAAACATATGCAATCAGTACAATTAGATTAAAATTGCTCAGGCCAGGGTTCTGCAGTTTTGGTATTTTGGTAGGAAAGCCAACATGCGAGAATACCAAAGCTGCACAGCCCTATGTCTCCAAAGTGGCTATGGTCATGGGGCCTGCAGTGTTGTTTTTT